GATTGGGGATGAATAGCATTTCTCCCAAAATTTGGAGACTGAAGTGTAAATACTTCAAAGTTATGTCGAAACTCACGATGAAAATTTGAGAATGCTATTGGTCAATTGGATGCAGTTAAAAGTCAAAAGGAGTGAAATATGACTAAAATATTTTCACAAATCAATTTTCAATCGCACAAGGATGTTCCAGATTTTAAGTCGGAGATTGAGACCATTTTTTACTAGTAAACATTCGAATTGGAAAATATATACTGCTAGTAAAGTTGTAACCCTGTGAATTATCTTTACATCCCAATTTGAATCGCCTAAATCAGATATCAGAAGAGAAAGTTATTATACAAACATTAAAAGAGGTGTAGTTCTGAAATTTTTTCGAAAGGTGGCACCGCGGCGCCACTCCCATGGCACCAAGGCACCGTCTGGGTGTATTTAGGGAGCATTTTTGACCCATTTTGAAGCCCTTAAAATCCTACATCCGACAAAAACGTGGGAATTAGTATAAATACAAGTTTTTGACACTTTTGAAGGAGTTTCACTCAATTTGTGGGGCAGAAAAACACATAATCATCAAGATCAAAGAGGAAAAACTAGGATTTGAAAGCTTTTGAGGTTGAAGAAAATTCTTAGTGCAAGATTAATTATTTCCATGATCAACATGGTAATGCACTCCATACTTTTTATGTTTTATTTCATTAATATGAGTACCTACATTCATAGCTATGCCGAACAATGTAATCTATGTATGACCATTTATTACTTTTATTCAAGATTATAGTTCTTTAAATGCATGCGTGTTGATTTTAGTCATGAACTCAATGCTTTGAATTCTTTGGTCAATTATTTAATGATTTTGTGAGACTATTGCGAATCAAAATGTGAGTTTTAGATTCAGATGGCATCGTAAAATTCGATAATTTAGTATAATGTGTAGATATACTTATACTAATTATTACGATCATTAGATGAATTCTTAGAACTAATATTTCATTTAACTAAGATTGATTCATATAGAGATATAAAATTGAATAAATTAAATAAACTCAATGAGAACTCGAAATGGGTAAATTGAATACTTTAGAAGAATTTGCCTGAACATTACAATAGTAATGAATCTTGATTGGCGNATAACCACACATGGACTTGGGGGACTATTGTTATGGGTCAATAGGTGGAAGCGACACGTGGCAGCTTATTTTAGAGGTGGGACCAGCCTAGTCAAGTCAAAAAATATTTTCCTAGCTTCAGATGTGGGCTCCGAGGCCCTCACTACCATTCCGAGGCCACTGCTGCTTACGATGAGCCACGGTTCGGCAGACACAATCGTCCGAGGCTCCTTAGCAGCCATTGAAGACCCACATGCAAAGATTCACTTATGATGGAGATCTTTGGCAAATGATTGATTTGACTTGTATGTAAAGTTTATTTGTGTCATGTCTTGTTAATGTAAGAGCATTTAATGTTTTGTAAAGCTAGGAGAGCCAACTTGAGTGATAGGATTTGATGTCCTAGCCAAGGAGATGAGGCCATGTGTAGGCTGATCCAAAGGTCACCAATTGAG